TCAGTTAGGAGAAGCACGTTAGCGAAACTGATTTAACGAGATTGTGTAAGACTACTGATAGTAGTTTTATTTGCGTTTTTTCAGCGATTCCAATTATCATCTTTATCGACAGAGAAATTCTTAATTTTAACAAGATCAGTGCCAAAATTTCAGGCTTCAGTAATAGTATTTGGACATATAAATTCATATGGTTCTTATTGTGCTTGGAATTGCCGTTTTCCTGCACGATATCAAATAACTGCAGCTGTTGGCATTAAGCATTGACCAGTGGACACATCAGTAGCGATGCTTGGTCAAGCGAGTAGAAGAGTTCCTTTGCTGGAGTGTGTTCGCTATAAAAGGTTAAAGTTCAAACCGAAAATAGCGCATACACGACCGCAGAAGACTGCGAGTATGCTGGCGATGGAGCATTTCGACTTTTATTACGCACCTGTCTACGGCAAACAGTGGCCATCGATACGTCTTGGACTGCTCACACCGAATAAGTATATGGCCATCGTGAACACTTTCTCAAGGTTGCGCATTCTTTCATGGCATGCAAATTTTTAAGACTTTTCAGCTGGAATTTTGATTTTTCATGAATGAAAAAGGAACCTTTCTTTAATATCTTTAATGTTTAATATCAGTAGATGAGAGATAGTCGATGGAAATGAGTTATTAGATCATAGGTACTGATTCGTTCTCTCGTAGATCATCAGAAGCAAGTGAGTTGATTCTCGAAGAAATCGGAGCCGTTGATCTCATCAAAGAATTAATTGGTACGATAGCAATAGAAAAATTGGAAAAGAAACGAAAACTAATGGAGGCGAAGGCACTGAAACAGCAGGAACAAGATCAAAGTGTTAAAGGGATGCAATCTGGAGAAGTCGAGGTAGGTGGATTAGATGGATCTTTCACTTCGATTACAGTGACGATTGTTATGAGCTTATGGTAATGTAGTGATGCTCAAAATGGTGTTAAAAACGATGCGATTGTCTCAACGTGAAACTTGTAAAACAGATCGAGCGTTCAACTTGCTTTAGGCGAAGTTGTTTTGTTGTGTGTGTAGGAAACGTGAGCCATATTAAGGCTTGAGCCCATTGGTGTAAATGAATGATCGAATGTTCGAAAAGGGTTATATTTCACAGATTTTTGAAGAGTTTAAAAGAAAATTTGAGTTGATTGAATTCTGAGTCGTTCCATAGGAGAACGCGAAAACGCCAGAAGACTTGGAACTAGAAGATTTGGAAATGCGAGGGGAGGCTGGTCTTGGGGAATTTCGGCGATCTGAAGAAACACTGACAAGGAGCGATCTGCAGTTGGGCAGGGGCAGACGTGATCAGAGGGATGCTCATGAGATAACGTTAGTTATGAATCACTGAATTCGTTCTATTAATATGAAACTTGTAAAACATCGGAAATCTATCCAATGCCCCGTTTAGTCAATGAAAGATGATTACAGCAAAATTGATAATAGTAACTAATAAGAATACCTGTGTGTTGTATAAGTATCATTTTATCACCGCTAATTTTTCATTGCATCCTTCTTTCTGTTCACCGCCGAATTGTAAGCATTTGCGTATAATCATTCGAAATGGAAAAGATATCTATTTCCTATTTCATTACATTATTATTTGATAGATACGGT